GCGGCGGGGCCGGGAGGTGAGGGGGGAGGACGATGGCGGCCGAGGGCTCCCCCGGCCCGGCCCGCACAGGCACGGGCTGCCTTCGTGTGGGAGCCCGCAGGGCTGCGCCGGCCCGGGTTTGAGGCAGCAGCTCGCCGAATCCTTCACGTTTGTCGCGGGGTCTTAGAGGTGGATGATTTCTGAGGGGTAGGAAGGCGCCTTTGGAGAGCACTGGGAGGAGATGGGCAGGGTGGTCCTCAGGGCGCTGCTGGAAAGGCGGTGCTGTGGTATGCTGCTGTTCGCAGCCTAGCGATGTCCGTTAAAAAAATCTCAAGGCTGATTAAAGGTTAGTACAGTCCAAGCTACAGCAGTGAGGAAAATGTTATGGTGCAAACCGATTCAAAGAAACGATCAGTGATCATGCCCATTGCTTTCATACTGTTGCAGAAAAAAATAGCGATCATTTTACTGATCTTCTTAGGTTTTACAATAATCTCTTCATCAGTATTTCTTACGTAGGTAAATAATACAAATTATAAGCAATAATTTGTGCGAATTTTAATGGGTTTGTGTGTATCACTTCTCAAACTTGTTTCCATGGTGATTATATATGAACAAATGGAGGCACCGCTTGAAAAAGACAAGCCTTCACTTGTCTGGAATATTGTAAATTGTCTAGAACTGTCTAGAATATCCTTAAAGGGATTTTTCTGAAAGACTAAATGTACATTAATTCTTCCTGTGGTAGCATATACCGGGGCAATATTATCTGTAGAAATAATGCAACACTTACAAATATCCCAGCTAAATTATGTAAATGCAGCCTCTTGTCAACCCACCCTAATGCTCTCAAGTTTTGTCCACCCATGCTGGGTAGAAAATATTGAGGATGCTTCTTAGATTTGCGATTTTGACGGTGCCACAATAATAACCAGAGGCCTTTTTAAATGAGTGATAGCAGTTTGTGTGGACCCATAAACCTCTGGTTGTAAAAAAAACGGGATGGACTGAAGAAAGAACATAAACACAGGTTTGGGCTGGCACAGTTGGATTTCCCATTAAAAATGGCTTTAGGTCTAGATGGAAGAAATAATACTATGGATTAATGGTTTTATTAAGGATCTGGAATGTGTATCAAGAAAGCTGTAGAATGTGTATACTTTTTAAGTAATGCAATTAAGTCTTAGTATATTTGCAAACCTAAGTGGAAAAGATGTCTTGGTATGTGGGAATTTCAGGAAGGTAGGACATTATTTTCCACAGGCTTTAAATGTCTTTTTAAAAAAAACCCAAAATATTTGTCATCTCAGAAGCAAGTATTTAGTTTCAGATTACCTGTGTATTCAAACCACTTGGAAAGTTCAGTTTTGACAAAAGTAGTTTTTAACTAAGAAGGCTTTTCTTAGGAGAAACTGTTCCCCTTGCTCTTAGTTGCTGCAAGTCTTGTTTTATTCCACTTCACCAAATTTAATCCTGTTCAAAAAAAACACCCCCAAAACTCAGAAAATGTTTTTTTGACTGTTAATTTCAATCAAAGGACAATTTTAAAAATTGATACTGTTATTTAATATCTGCAGTAACAGCATCTGAGTGTCTCTTGATCAGATGCCAAGATTTCTTTATGCAGACATTAGGCAACTATGGAGCCAAACAGTGCTACCTGCCCCCCAGAGCTCCTGGCCTTTACAGCTTGAAATGTCCCTGTCTCTGAGGATTTTGTTCATCTGTGATTTACCTGATGCTTGAATATAAAGAAAAGTCTGTGAGCGCATTGGTATCTCCTGTCATGTGGTCGTGGCAGAGTTTGGCAGAGTTTTACACATCTGAATAGTTGGCCGTGTTATTTGCTCTGGTTCATCATTATTTTAATCTGCTGCTATAGAATCAGATAGTCCCCAGTCAGGTGGCCTCTCCTCAGACGCTATTTGCCTTAAGTGTTGTATGACTGGAACTATGAATTTAAGAAACAAATCATCAATTCCCATGGTAAAGCGATTCATATGGATGTTCCCCATCAAGGCATATGAGGAAAGGAATCCAGTGGTTCCTCCAGTGAAAATCATTGACTTGTTTCACCAAATGAAAACAGGAAACACATTTTGTTTCATTAACTTCAGATAAGCAAAGGGTTGGAAACGCTGAATCAGCCCCCTCTTTTTGTGAAACAAGATAGCAGAAATCCAGGATTGTTGTCTTAGCAGTGATAGAAACTGTACTAAAGGAAAAAAATTTGACATTTTGTGCTCTTTAAAACTTGTGTACCTGAATACAGTGTTTGAGAATTTTCTCTTTGGTTATGGTAGGGCAAAAAGACATTTAATTTGTGATCTCATACCTAATTTGTATATTTGTAGACTGGTGGTAACCTTGCTCTGTCTGGGATTATTTGTGTTCTGAACATGAAACATTGTAGTGAGAGGTATTGAAAGGTCAGATCTTGTCACTGACAGAAATCTTGTATCAACACTGGGATTTGTTATGGCCCCTTGGCTTTAAATCTTATTAAGCTTTCTAGTGCAATCTCAGCTGAAAATTTGCTCCTTGAGGACCAGATTCATGTTATCATCAGACAGAAGAGATACCAAATAATGTGTCTGTGCTACCAAAGGTGGGATCCATGGCCACATTTGCATATGCACGTAATATACTTCCGTAGATGTCTTCTCAACAGACAATCCTAGTGAATCATGAGCTCTTTAGTGAGAGTGAACATAATTATACGTTTATTAACGGGGGGTAACAGATGGACTAGCTGGTTTAGCAGCTGGGTTTCCAGTCATTATTCATGCAGATTGAAGTAAAGAATGATGTATCTAAAGAAAGCAGTAGGAGCTGACACCTCCTGAAACTGAGCTCTAGTTGAGCAATCCCTGCTCATCGATATTCTGGCAAAGGCAATGTCACAGTTTGCATTAGGAAATTTCAGAAATCTCATACCATGATTTGAATTCACCATAAAACTGTCATGTACTTCACGGGAAACCTGGAAGATCCTGAGTTACTCTCCTGCATTTGCAAGTCTCATGCTAGAGTACGTACTGTATATTATTTGATTATCACAACTAGCAGGGCAAAGAAAGTAGTTGTAAACAAAGTTTATTCATAGTAGGTCATGTTCAGGATCAAAATTATTTGCTAGGGTGTTGTTAGCAAGAAGTAATGTTTTTCGATTCATCATTCCCAAAGGATCCTGCTTAAACAAAAGCGTGCTTCCTCAGATGTAGGAGTGGATAGGAAGGATCCTGGAAGATCTCCAGACCGGAGAGAAAGTCCAAATTCCAGGAGTCCCATGCTTGTTATTTAGTCATAGGGTTTCATTAACGCTAACTTACGCTTGTCTTTCCACTGAAATTATAATCTAAACAAACTAAATAATAAGAATTTATAAGATGCAGTGTTTTTAATGCACTGAGAAAGCTTGCATTGTATTGTTTAGTATCTCAGTGAAATCCACATTATGATGGCTTTAGGCTGCTAGGCTTGCTTTGTCATTCTTTTATAAAAGTTATTTTCCAGCTTTGACAGATATTTCTACTCTTTGTAACTGTAATCAAACTTCTGCTGTGAAATCTCAATGTCCTTGTTGAGTGACTTGAAAGTATGTCCAGACACTGAGTTTTCTTTCCCAGTTTTCTTCTCCCTGAATAGTTGTGCACTAGGCCTATAAGGAACATTTTTCAAAAATGCTTAAAATTATTTAGGAGCCAAGCACTATAGAAAGCCAGGGGGATTTAAACTGCTTTAGTTAATTTAATTGTTCCCCATGCTCAGTCTATTCAAGATATCCAGACTTGTGCAGAGGATACAGGGTGGGCAGGACCTTTAGCTGACCAGCTGACTCACTTGTCTGAAATGTATGCATGGTGGTTTGTGGCTTGTGCTCCCTAACTGCTTTGAGCACAAGTCTCCAAGGAGTGTTCCTGCTTCGGTTTTGCTTAGTTTTGTTTCTTAGCCTAAATTCTCTCATTGCCAGTAAGATATTTTTTTTTTTTCCACTGAAGATATCAATTTGTTAAACTGTTTAAGACTAATTGTTGTTTTTTAAAGAAACAGTGTTGTGAATTCCATTTTTCAGGTTACCCATCCGTTAATTAATCACCTCTTAGAATTTGGAGCTTAAATTCAGACTTGTAGTGACCTTAGTGCCTTCAGAGATCTGACATTATCTGTTACATGTTTATTATTCTGGAATAACGAAGCTCTTTATGATTTTTAAAGAAATATGGTTTCTCTTTTATACAGTGGAAAAGTTCTTGTAACCTGCTGCTGAAAGGAAGTGGCAGAAATGTTCTGGGGCCTCAGAGGAACCTGGGATTCTCAGCCCTGTCTCAGAGGGTGAAAAATCTAAAGAACTAAGGGAAAGTACGTATTTCTTATTTTTATAATAGATACATATAGTTTTATACAGTGGTCTTTGAACTTGTGAAAAATGTCCCATATTTCAGTTAGCATTACATTGGGCTTCTAATAAAAAGCTAGTGTTAATTTTAGAAGATGGGTATTTAATTTCTTAGAAGTATGTAAATTACTGTTATTTTTTTTTAAATGAGTATAAAGTACAAGAAAATCATATGGGATCACTTGTGGTGGTCTTGTGATTTTAGTAAGTATTCTGGTAATAAGAAGAATGTTGGCACAACAAAATCCCAACCCAAATACTTGAAGCAGAAATATATTTTTCTATAATTTTCTTAGTCATTCAGTTCTCTGCATGCTATAAAATTTGATAGTCATAGTTTTAGGCCTTGAATTCTCTCCTTGATTGAGCAATTATATTATTTCTTGCAGTTTTTAAGGCTTATAGTCAGGTCCAGGACATGGAGTCAGCTTAATTCTGTTCTCTGTTGTGTTAAAAGATTCCCAGTGTAAGCACAGTTATGTAATTTTAGCACTAAAATGTATTAGAGACTTGCAGTTGACTTGTATTGGAATGAGAGCTCTTGTTGCACTTTAGTTTTCTCTTCTGTAAAGTGGGGGTGATAGTAGTTGCCTCAGAGGTTGTGTGTGGGCAAATGCTTGAAAAATGTGGAGATCAGTAATAGTAGGAGGCTTAGAAATCTTTGATAGAAGTTACATACATAGTTTCACATCTACCCATGCATAGGGTAGAGTTTGTTCTTTCTATTACAAAAGTAAAGAAAGCTAGGGAGATTAAGCAGGTGGCAGCTGCTGATAACATCCTGACAGAGCACTGTGGGTACATTTATTTAAGTCAGTTGAAGCACTTCTGCGCTACCATGAAATAGTGCATGTCTGTGAGACAGTCTGCAGAGAACGTTTTTTCCAGTTCTGAAAGGTAAATATGATCCTATGCATTCTCTTGAAGAAAACATTTTTCCTTCTGATACTGGTTAACCATCTAAGTTATTTATTCTCATGGTTATTCAGTTTGGAATCCACTGATGATGCTTGAGGTTTATAATTGCTGAGTGGAATTCAGTTGTTTAATTTTTGGAACAGCCACTATAGGCAGACCCATAGTCTCTCTTTAATTTTGAGTTCCTTTCCTCATTGACAAAAAAGTTGAGGGTTATGTACTTTAGTAGGAGGAACTAACACATATGAATCAAGGTCAAGATGAAAACGCCAAAGAGGCCTGGCAGGTCTTTGATTTTACAGCGATATATACACAGAACCACAGTTTGTAGTAAAAAGAAAAAAAAAAAATCTCTAATGCATGTTGTAGATATGCTTACCTTGATAGATGCTCTATGTCCTGACTGATGGAACCAAGTCATACGAGACTGTCCTTCCCTGTCCAAATTGCACTTTTAGACACCTTACCAAACACACTGCATTTCAGAATGTGTGTACAGTGCTGTGAGTTATGAGGGCTCATCTCAGATTAGTGACCAAAAAATGCCTCTGTTTTATCCGCTGATACAGCATGGCACAGAAAACTTTGGTGTGAGCATCTTATAGGCCCTTACTGTCAGAATATTTAAAACATTTACGTCCCTAAACAGCTAACGTAAGATATCACAGAAATGACTCAATTGTTCTTTAACAGAAGCATTTTCTGTCCATATCCAGCTTTGTGTGTTAACGTCTCTTTCTCATTTTCTAGTAGAGCATTTTAACCTCCAAACCAGTATTTTGCAGTTTATAGAGCTTGTTACAACATGTAAATGTTAACAATAAAGATAAATACTTTCTCATTAATAAAATGAGCTATGTAGTCAAAATTATTGCCTCAGGGTAAATCTTAATTTCTATAAACAAAGTTTTCTACTAAGCTTTACTTTTTGTAAGAAAATTGAGACTATTCATTTCTGCATGTAGCTGTAGCTCAGATTCTTTGAGTTTTGTTTCTGTCACTGATAATGGCTTAATATGAAATTATAGATGAGTAATTTCAGCTTTGTGCCCTTGTTTCACCTGCCTGTAAAATGGAAATTTAATCTCCTGTCTTTCAAGGATCTCTTAGATTGTAGACCGTTCAAGTCTGGGACTGATTGTTTGATGTGCTGTGCTTCAGCCTACAAAGCAGTCAGTTCTGGGTGGGAAACTGAGGTTCTACCTGCATAAAAGTTGTTAAAATTAATGAAGATAAACATTGTGACTTTTTTAATCATTTTGTTTGTTTTAATCCTGAGATTTTTTTTGGATGAAAAATATAAATATTATAAGGTTTTTCTTTTTACAGTGTTACAGATGGATGCTGTTGTCAGCATGGGTCTGAAGTGTGTGTCCGTGAAGCTGAAGCTGCCAAGTGGGCAGCTAAGAAGCTGTCTTGTAACTGTTTTGCTCTGTTGTTTGGGGTTTCTTTTTAGTGTTAGGAAGCCTCTGTAGGCCAGTCTTTAGTCCCAATTGTTTGTGCTTTAACCCATTCCAGAATGCTATTGTATATTATTTTGTATGCTAATTGAATACTGCTAGAGGAGACAAAAATGAATGTGTAAGGTGCAAGATAGCAGGGAATTCTTTCTTCTCCTCTCAGGTTGCACCCAGGAACAGCTGCCCATGTTTTCCTGGGGTCCACTGACACAAGCAAGCATGGACATCCACTGATGCAAGCACAGACAGGATGCAGGTGATCATATTATTTTAGCTAGGAGTAACTGTAGATTTGCTTGTGCTAATACAAGGCATGCACCTTAACATGCTGTGTCACAGCAATTGGCAGTGGCCAGAAACCTTTGTTCTTTACACAGAAGGAGACAGAAATGAGAGTTCATGCTGAATTACAGAAATATATTGATTCATTTATTTCATGCATGTGTTGAAAGTGATTAGAATATAATTTACTGTCAATTTTTGGAAATAAATATATATAGAAAAATATGTGTGCCAATTCTAAGTAGGTACTTTAAGAGCCTCTGGTAATAATTGTGTCTGAGTGTTAAGGAATTGTTTATTTGCTATCCGAGTCAACATTTATTTGTAGCTCATTCTGATTAATTCAAAAGTAGCAAAGTCAGGAAAACCCTAATTTCTAAGCAGGCAGATACTATAGTTCTCAGTAACCACCCAGTTACTGGTATTTTTTCTCTGCTTGCTCTTTTGTCCTCTGTAGCTTGTGTTATCATTTCTAAATATATTCTGATATACGCTTTTCCGTGGGTTATGAGGCTACAAGATCTTATATGATATTATTCCTTTTATCTCAGCAGGAATTTAACAAACTGCTTCTTTCATTTGTGTGTTAATAACAACTAAAGACTCAGTAGAGTTTCAGGACTTCATTTGGATGTGATATTTTGTGTATCTGAAGCTCAGTTTGGTTTTTTTCACATTTCTGTTAAACAAAAGCTGAGTTATCACAAAGATGTTTTTACAGTTTGTTACTCAAAAGGAGTTCTCTGATATCTTTTACTGTTATTCATTTGCATTGCTAACGTTCAGTTCTTCTGGGAATGCAACTTTGTACCCCTGGCAGCACACTTTTTTTTTCTGAAATCACATTGGAATTGTGTTTGTTAATTTACATAACATCAGAATTATCTTTGCTAATTTACAGGGCAAACGAACTGTGTATCTTTATGCAGAAGGAAAGCGAGGAAAGTGAGAACCGTAAAGGACTGCTGCCTCAGAGCTGCTGTTGCCATAGAGCTGCTAACGAGGAAAAAAACTGCAGCATGGATTTCTTCTGCTGTTGAAGGTAAGATGAGGGCACAGCAAAGACTGTAGGAGGGGGAGGGGAGGCAGAGGGAGGGAGAAGAGGAAGAAAGTCTGCGTCCTTGCTGTCTAAAAAAGGAAATTCAGTTTCAGTGTTCATGAGCAGAACTGCTGGTGCAGAAGAACAAAGCTATCTCAGTTGTTTAGGGTAGCAAGAGTGATGAGCAAGCAAGCGCACTCCCATGCTTTCAGGAGGATAGACTGCAAAGAAGGGAGGGAGAAGAAGAGTGACTATGGTTTAGAAAATACTCACTGTTGCCTCAAGATAGCTGCCTTTTGATACTACTTTGGCATTAATATTGTTCCCCTGGGTACAGACAGCTGTGAAAAAACTCAGTAGGTAGATAAGCAAGAAGAAAAAGTGGTGGTAAAAAAATTTAGCATAATTTTGAGCTGATGAATTCTGTCTGTATGTATTAAAATGTGTCAATTGTTATTGTGCAGTGCTGTGAAACCTTTCAAAGTGCAAATGAAATTATTTTTTCTGGTAAGATTGTTATGATAACTTGATCTGTTATCAAACATTTATCAATGATCTTTCATCTTTTATCTAAGTAGATGTCTTTTTGAGTGAAAATGTATAATAAATAACTGAAAAGTAAATATTAGATACTCAAGAATACTGACTGCAGAACTGATGACATGCTTTCTGTGGAATCTTTTTAATGATCATTGAAAAATTATCTGCAAAACACTCATCCAAAAGCTGCGGCTGCTGGTGGTTCTACATTTGTCTAGCATGTTATACCTGCTCCTTCTCTCAGTCTTTTGACTCTTTTTGAGATGACTGAACCCACATGCCCTGCACAGCAAACCCAGCACAACTGCAATGTTTGCACAGTGGGGCCTTGAAGAGAATGAAACAACCTTTAGAGGCAGTGATAACACTATTTTAGCTGTGTTGATAATAATATGCTGATATTGCTTAACCAGCTGATGCTGTAGTATTAAGCGTGCTTGGATAGAACAGCCCTTCCTTACAATTTGTTGTTTTGCACTTTATCACCATTTATCAAATAGTGTTTGCTGATTTCTCCTGGAGTCTGAAGATTAGGTCAGAGTAAATTTCTCCTAGACCAGCCAGTTACCTTGATTGGGAATCACCAATTCAGGCTGTAAATAAATAAAAATAGATTAGATTAGGGATTCAGAATTTTTTTAGCATTAGTCTCTCACTGCAAAATTGATATTCTTTGTGATTATAGCATTTAGCTCATACATGCCGTTTCCCAGTCATGAGTGGCACTGGGCGAGGTATATTGATCATGAATGCATCAGTTGCCATTTCAAAGGTATGTCATGAGGAACTTGATGTGTAATTGTGTTTTTACTAGTCACACAAATTTTGTCAGACTCATTAGCTGCAGACAGTTTTTCTGCAGTCTTCAGAACCATTCTTTTTATTAACTGCAGTCTCCAATGCAGTCAGTGGTTGATGACACCCTGTTAAGATTTGTGTGGGTCCCTTGAGCCAGTGCACATTAAGATCAAGTCTTAATCCAGTGCACATGAAGATCAAGTGATCCATGATTGAGGCAATCCCTGGCAATACAAGTGATTGTGATTTAGTTCAATGTCAGCAATGTCATCTTCTGCTCTGAACAGTTGTTAATATTTTGCTGAATTGAATAATTGTGTTAGGACTGAGTTCCACAGAGCATTAGGTGCTGCATTTCAGAAGTTCACTCAGTTTGTGGATCAAAACAGTTTGGGTTCTTCGGGAATCTGAAATAACTATTTAGACAAGTATGACTGTATAATAAACACCTCTGTGTAGAGTAACTGCTCAAGAAGGAATGGATGGTCCCTATGCAGACTAAAATTTAGTTGCTTTAAATAAATATATAGTGGAAGGTTAATGTTGTGGTCTTAGATCAATTTAATGTTGTTTTTCGCTGACAAAAACAGGTAGCCAGAAGCACAGTGTTGCTAATTGACAGGTTATTCTCACAAGTTTTCAAATAGTATGTATATTCATTGGTTCTAATTGATAGTGGCTAACACGTACAGTGAAAAAGAGAAGAGGTACAGTAGTGCTAATACAGACATGTCTTGGCTGTTTAACTGTGCCCAGTGTGTGAAATGGAGTGCAGATGCATTATAACCTTCATATCCATGCTATTCCTATGCTAGACTGTCAGCTACAACCAACAGATCTATCAACTAGTGAAAGCTTCAGAGGTGTCTTGGTTGTCTTACAGTAGAAAAGTAACTTAATCTGCAGTTAAACAAAGCAGAGGAGTTGTCTGTAAATCTACTAACCTTTCCATACATTTGTATGTAAATCTGAAGAAAGAGGCGATCTTGCAGTTTATGCTTGTTTTTCCCACTTCTTCCCTCTGACTTGTATTGTGGGAGTGGTCAAGAAAATAAAGTATGGCAAAGTATTGCCCAGAACACTCTAATTCCTGTATTTGGGCCAGGAAAGAAGCTACTAAGCCACTAGTGCTGTTGTGGTTAAGGCCAGGACCTGCATCAACTCCCAAAATGTAAGAGCTATTTTGAGGGTTAATGCTGCCCATAATTACCATTTTCTGCTTGCAAGGTGTTGCACTGCTCAATGTCTGTCTCAGCCTCTTCCAAATAGTATCAATTTTGTACACCGTGGGCTTTGGCTGAGTGCTCCAAGGCCTGAGTCTGGAAATGCTGAGTACCCACAATGCTATTTAAAGTTAATGGGAGCACAGGCTTCTCAGCAGAATTTAAAATCGGGCCTCTGTGCTCAAAGAAGAGATTTTAGTTTAGCAGTCACAAGACTGCTTAAACGATCATTCTGAATTCTAGATACATTCTAGAACTGATTTTTTTTGTTTGTTTTTTATTTTTTTTACAAAACATATTGACAGTACTTGATTGATTCCTGGGAAGTTGAGGTATGTCCTGTTACACCTCTTGTTTTTTTTTTTTAAATTTTGTGAGCATTACTATTCTTTTAGTTAATGTAGAGCTAGGAGAACAGCTGGCACATATGAATGAATTCAGTTATAATAGATTTTCTTCTCTGATGCTTTATGGCATTAATCTTTTTTCTATTGGGTTGAATGGCAAAGAACTAACTTCTGCTGACATGTTTAAGGGTTAGAATGAGAAATAAAACAATGTTCTTTTATTGTTTAAATTTCTTTACATGTGTCTGGTGGATTTCTCAAGGTACTGAACTGTAGTGTTTTGAGCATGTAGTTCGAAGTCTTTCTTTAAACATGCTATAGCTACCCCTGCTCTGTTGATGAGCATGATGTTCCCCCCTTGAAATCAGTAACCCGCCATTCTTGTCTACCCCAACTCTTTGTGTTTTTTTTATAGTAATCTAAGTTTCAGTTAAAAATATGACCTCCCTGGATAAAAGGTGCATCCTTATTCATTTTCTGCCTTAATCAGTTTTGTTTGTCCACTCCCTTGTTTTTTGCTCGTATGATTATTTTTTGTTTCAAGCCAAGAGGTCTGTTAGGGCTCCTGTAATAAGTACATCCCATGGAAGATGGAGAGTCGTCCACTGGATTCATACAGGGACTTCTCATACAAGATATTTTGGGTTCAGGCTCTTCAGTTTTAAAACAAATATACTTCTTTGGGATGACTCTGGATTCTATGGCAAATTCTAATTGTGACTCACTTTGAACTGAAATAGCAAGGTAAATAGTTTGCTGCGTGAAGACAGTAGTTTAATGCCTGATCTTCAACACAGAGATCAGCACTGTCAGTGCTGAAGAGAAAAGACTCACTATCAGGTTTATAATCCCTGTTTCTCCATACTGATAGGAGTTACTCCTTTGGAGCCTGTGTTTGGGTTTTCACTGAGCAGCAGATTGAAACCAGTTCAGGAACAGCAGTAATGTTAGTATTCATTGTAGCAAGATGCCTTACCCAATTAGGAAAACCTTTACTCTTTTTTCCTTAAAACAGCTTTCCTCTTACTTTAGTACATGGTAGAAACATTATGTTATTAATTACATTTTACTAAATGAACATCACTTAAAGCTTAATTAAAAGCTGTGAAAGCTGAGTTATACTAATGTAGTGTTGTAAACACAGCAGAATTAGGAGTTGTGAGTAACTGGTCACAGAATTGAAAATACCTATTCCCTTTGGGTTTTTAAGAATATCTGAGGAATTTGTACATTAGATTTGTCTATACAACAAAGGCTATGCAGTGTTGTAATTTCTAATTCTGTAGCCACTTAGACCCATTCTATCCTCAGAGCTGATACTCCTAAACTGGGAGCAGTTATCTTGCTGGATGAGAAACCTGAGAAAACAAGGAAAGAAATGGGTTCTTATGTCTTATCAAATGCCAGTGTTCATTGTTAATTCTCCCCATTGTCTATTGTCAGGTGCCTGTACATGTCCTATGACTAGTTAGGAGAGCTATGTGAATTTAGCATTAGAGGATAATTGGAATTGTCGAGTGTGAGTAAAAATTTGTGTCGGAATCATAGCAAAAATTCAGTAGGCCATCCATAGTAAAGCTGAGGAATTTTTCATACATCAGTTAAAATACATATTTTGTCTTATTGCCACAGATGGAATGAACGAGAGTATGTTAAATCCAGACACCTGCAGAATGGCCATCAGGTGGCTCTGGATCTCAGCAGTATCATGAACAGAGGTTTAATTCAGACGTATTTTTATACTCCAGACTCCTTGTTCCGATTATCTGTATCAGTAAGAATGCAATTTTTCTGGTGCAGGACTACCTATTATTTTTTATGTCAGTGAAATTACACTTAGAGCATATTTATACACCTTGCTCTTAATAAGTACCTTGGCAAATGTTGATGCTCTATTGATAGAGCTTAATATTTAAAACAGATTGCACAGATGTGGTGTTTTTATCTACAGTGTTACTAACCCATAAGAAACGCTGAGCGTTAAACCTACTAAACCTTTCCTGGCAATCACAAAACCCGAATTTGGAGATCATAAAACCTGTGGCAAAAAATCTGCCACCTGCTGACCAAGGAGGAAAGTACTCGTTAAGCTCTGCGGTGCACTGGAGAGAGATCTCCAGCGTGATTCCAGCGATAGGAGAAACTGATAGTTTTGCAGAGCTCGTCAGCAGCAGATCTGAAAAGCCCTGGTCAGTAGTTTTCTGACAGCATATTTTTCTGTTAGAAAGTGCTGTTTTGTTATAATTAAAACTTTCTGTGGGAACAAGTCAATGAGAAATTTAAATGTTCCATTCTAAAAATACCAGAACATTCTGTTTCAAAATTTTTAGACCGGAACACTTTGATTTTTATTCCAGAATTATTTTTTTTTTAAAGTAATTAGTTTCGCACATTATAAAAACAAGAAGTCAAAATTGAAATTGTAATCTTTATATTAAACATTAATGAAACCTCACATCATCACTGTAGCATGTGGTAACTTCAGTGCAGTCAAGGACCTAGGAGTCTTGGCTTTTAGTACCCTGCTCTGACCACTCAGTCTGTCTCTCTACTTACGGTCATGCGCTGTAGGGAGAATACGTAAAGAGTGTGACTATCTTCTCATTTGGATGGGGGAGATTGGATATGGAAAGAAAACTTGTTTTTTTTCATCTTTGCATCTTTATTTCTTTTATTGTAATTTTTGCATGAATTACTTAAATTGCTACAATAATTTAAAGAAAAACTGTTTTGAACTTGTACTCCTTTTAGTAATACAGCATACACAAAGAGTTCCCAGTTACAGCCAAAATCATACCAGTCAATATTCAGAAAAAAGAAGAGAAGTAAACAACTAAAGATAACTCTCAAGGCTTTCATTTGCCTAGCTTTTAAGTTTAGTACTTGTCATGAGCTAAGAAGAAAAGATAAACTTTTCATTTTATCCTTCCAGGAAAGGAATAAAAACCAAAACAAAACAGGATTTGATTAGTGATAGATTCAGGAGTTATTATTTTTATATCTTTCCTTAAAATGGGGCTCCAGCTAAGTTGTATGGCTTCTTAAAGATTGGTAAGTTTGTTTTCAGAAAGAAAGGCAATACTGTGGTTCTGATTGTATATCACCACTTACGACAAATCACTTATCTATGCATCTATCTAATATATGCCTATATGCCAGCCAATTACACTGTGTTTAAAAAAAAAAAAAAAGTTTAGATGCACATAACCAGGCTGAATTTATACTCACAGGACACTTTGTAATTTTCAACTTCCTGATTTTTAAAATATCATTTTAATGTGGCTTTTAATGCAATTAGAAAAATTAAGGAAAAGAAATTGTACGTGTAAAATCAGTGATTCTCACTCAGCATGGATTATCAGAAGGGTTGAGTTCTTTTTCTCACAGTGTAGTTATCTACCATGTGAGCTGGGGAGGTAACTGAACACAGACGGTGGTTTGCCTCTGTAGGAACCAGGCACTGGAGAGGGGAAGTGTGCCTACACTGTCAGGGGATGTTTAGATTCATAAAGTATGAGTTCAGTTCTGTGATTTGTAAGCGACTGCCCTGTTACGATTGGAGAGACCCTCCTCCGCAGGTCTTTTGCTTTTCATTTTTGCTCCTACATCCCCTCTACAGTTCCTGTCCTCTTTTGCTTCTTCACCATGCTGCCTTCACCCACTTCCCCATCCCATTCTTTCTGTTTCCATTTTTGCCACTAAGTTGCTGTTTTCTTTTGTTTCTTTTACCCTGTCCATATCGTTCCACCCTACCTCTGCTCTTTGCACTTCTGTGTCTTCTGACCTTTCTTGTAACTATCTTCTCTTTCAGGATCCTCCTGAACCTTTTGTGCCGATACCTCCTGATCCTGTTGATCCATCTGTTTCACATCCTCTAAGTAGTCTTCATCTATCTAGTTCCTCCTCACCAGTGAGGTGATGGCAATAGAAGCATAGTACGCAAAAGAAGGACACGTTCCTAACTTTTGAGTGTAGTCTTGATACCACAGCAGTCCCAGTAGTTGGGATGAAAAATTTCAGAGAATATCCTTTCTGTCTCTGTAGCTATGTTGGAGGATATATATATACTGTATTTATACTGTGGTTTCAAGCAATGTGGTCTTTTTTAACAGTCAGTGAAGTGTTACCATTTGTAGCACCTTACCCTTTCAGTAACCTTTTATGGGACCAGGTAGTGGTTCGAACTGGTGAACCAATCTAGCATTATAGTATTTATTTATTGCCTGGTGTTTTTTCAGCTGAATAAGTTACTGGATACATTCAGAGGAAAAGTATATTCAGTTTGCCAGAAATACTTGGTGCTTTTTAGCTAATGTATCCCACCAAAAACTCAACTTTTGGAAGATAACTAGAATAGAAAATTCAGTCCAGTTTCTGAAGTATGCACAACCTAATAATGGAATAAGGCAGAAAAATTTTAGGTAACTCAAGTGTTTGCAATTTTGTCATCTGATCTGTAATATTTGTGCACCTCTGCCACATGAAAATCTGTCAATCATACTGCCTCTACTATGTAGTTAACATAATACCCATAGGGAATAACAAAGCTGCTTTATTTAGGATTCTTTCAGCTGTCTCTGTTATCTTACTCAGCAGAACAACCTGCTATGACAGACTGGTGGTAATATTAATTTGTTTAAAGAAATTGACAGGTAAAACATATTCCTTTATTTTATTTTGTTCATTAAAAGATTCACTCCAGTAGATTAGAGAAATATTATTTCAGATATCTAAGAAAGACATCCTTGCTCTCTATTGGCTTGCTTTTGTCTTACCCATATTTGGTTGAGATTCTTCATGTAATCTGTGACATTCTTTGTGCCATTGCTTTAAACATATTCAGTGAGATATGATGCAGTGATTCACTTTGTGCTTATGGCAACTTGAGGCAAATAAGATACAATTTTAACTTCTGCAGCAGAAGGCTATTGACTTGCCTGGTCCCTTTACTAGATGGGTTCTGAATCGTTGGTGCCGTTGCCTGATTTACATCTTTGCAAATATATGCAAATACAGACTATCGCCATATGGTCTTAGGTCCCCAGAAGTGCTGGTGACCTACTTGAATATCTTAGTTAACAGAATAGGAGCTTGTGCCTCTTCACTTTTTATACATTTCAAAAGGCAGTATTTTTCTTATTTTTCTGTGTATAATTTCTGAAAAGGATCCTACAATGTTTGAATTATTGTAAAGCATCTAAGAGATCAAGGTCTTTGTTTTGGGGAGGTGTTGAATTTTCTGTTGCTGGATTGATGTCTTCTGTGGCAGAAGGCAAGAGATCCTCATTTCTGAATTCTCTGGTAAAGCTGGAAGGAGCTGGAAGGTCCATAATTTGTTTCCATGGTTTTCCAGGACATCTGGGGAGAGGAGATTCTGGGCGATCTGACAACCCTTTAAATAAAGAAGTGTCACGAAGAATTAGTGATTCTGCAGGTATACTGGTTTCCTTTCTTGCAACCCCAGGATTAATTAGCTCTGGTGCTGTTTCAGCACTGGATGATGGGAGGGTTTCATTTTGATTAAAACCCCTTTCATTGGACTCCTCAGAAGATTTGGGGTTTGGATGTTTATGTTTACCTTGTTTCCTGTGGTTTTTATGCCCACACCCATGGCTAGTCCTGTGCCCACAACCAATTTCACGACTATGCCTTTTGTCAGGCTCATGATCCTTTTTATATTCATGCCTGTGTTTATGCCCATGTTTATGCCTCTATTTAAGCTCAGGTTCACCTTCACCTTCTGGTTCCTGTCCACCACCTTCTCTCATTTCTTTCTCAGGTTTTTGCCTTTCTTCTTCATTTATATTGGAGCATGAAATTTCTTTTGGCTCCTCTTGTATAGCAAAGCTTCGGAAAGGTGTGAATCCAGGAGGCCTTCTTAGAAGTAGGGTCTAAAAAACATTGCAATAATAGTCGTATTTGTTACATGAACAAGAACAATAGCTTCAGATTTGGGAAATTTAGAAGTTGGCTTGTTGCAGTACACGAGTCATATAGCAAAAATATGTTCTCAGATTTTTAAAGTAAACGAAATAATTTTCTATCTATGGTAGGCATGGAAACATAAACATCGCCTCAGATAACTCCAGAGTATTTTAGCAGTTATGTGTTAAAAGAACAATTCATATATCACTGAAATTCTGCCAGTTTGACATGGGAATGATACTATGGAGAGGAAAACGTGTACTGGTTTTAATTTATGAACAATACAGTTGATTTCCAGGACTAAATGTCGCTGCGCTTGTTAGAGTATAACACTCTGATTTGTAAAACCAGTTTATGCTAAAGGTTAACACATCTCTTGGTAGTCTCAATACCAGAATATACAAAAGATCTGGGTTGTTTTGTTATATGAAATGCAACTACTCAATTTTTTTGTTTCTAGATTTGAAATATGCATTTCATAAGATTGCTTAGAAATAACACATATAGGTTAAAGCTGATAATATGAAACATTCAGTTATTGAGTAAACTCCATTTCCCCATCACTATTCAACTGGAAGACAAAGACTGAACGCATGGTGTACAATCCCTATCCAACATGGACTTTGTTTCTGTCCACTAAAGTGTCTGATCACTATCTAACTGCAAATCAGAATTGTTTGGGGTGGAGCTAAATTTGAAAGTTGGTGTGGATACAGTATTGTAGTGAAAACAAAGAGGAGAGACATTTATTAGTTGATACATAATGAATGAATAACTAGTTATGCAGGTGCTAAGCACTGTGAAGTTATTGATTATAAATGCAAGTTAATCAATCTCACTATTAAAAAACCTGCAATCATCAGAACTAAAAAAAATTCTGATAATAAAAAAGATTTATGTTGCATTCTGAGATTTTCAAACTGACCCATGTTCAGGGGTAGTTAGTTGTGGAGCTGGGTAGGAAGGAAACTGAAGGATCTTTCTACAGTGACAACTCGTGGCAGGACATCTGTTCCTCTACAAATATGAAAAGATTCGCAGATGCTTTTGAAATCCATGGGGTATAGTTATTGTGTTGCCAAATATATTTCTGTCTCAATTTTTAAACCCAGTATGAATAGTAATTTAAAGGAGCTGATGGGCCTTGATACTTCAGAGCTGAACTGATAATATAAAAGAGCAGTCAATAGGCAGCATGTGCTCTCTGTCCTGTTACTCTTGCATTTCTGTCATCCCTGTGCTGGCCAGTCTCACCTTGTGGTGAAACCAACTTCGATGTAACAAGTTGCTGAGGTCAGAGGGGCATTACAGAGGTTGTTAAAAGAACTATGAGTTCCTTTATTTTTGGTACAAAATATGGGATAATTTGGAATGGGTAAAGAATTTAATGACTGCCTTTGTTCTGTACTCTACTTATGATGATGGGTAATGAAGAGGTATCATACCAGTGACCGTTCTTTAGAGCAGTTAACCTGGGGAGAGATTTTATCCTCCCCTGCGATCACGTGAATTTGTGCTTCACATGGCAATGGTACCTGTCGACAAAACAAAAATCAACACGTTAAAGCCACAAAACATTAGACACAAAGTAAGAGAGTTGTGCATGAAAAAAGAAAAAAAAATCTAATTAATACTTTTAAATACAAATATACTTGGAATTTTACCCAAATATCTATGAAATCCACCTTAGTGATGAAGACTTCTGTATTGGGAAACATCTCTACTTAGATTTTGAGGTTATAGTATGCCTGTTTGAACACTTCAGTCTGACTTTGGATTGGAGATGGAGTCCTGAAAAATTGTATTTTTCATCTCCTGCACTTTTAGAGCACTGACTGTTTAATCTTTATGATATTCCTAAGAAATACTGTTTGTTGATGGTGTTTCTCCTACTAAAAATTGGCAAATTGAGATGGAGAGGCTTTTTTTTTTTTTTTTTTTTTTTGCTGATTTTAAAATCTCACAGGTAAGCACTATTCATATGGTGGGAAAAGAGAGGAGAAATAAAACCTCTCTTTCCCAACCAACTCCCTTGCCAATGGTTCTGGCCCCATCAGCATTACTTTCCAGTGGCTGGAACACATTTTCCTAGTATCAGCAGCGTGCACTCCAGAAGCATCACTCCTTTGCATGCCAATAACAGTCGAATCTCATGTTTTCCTTAGCTGCAAATCCACAGAATAAGGAGTACATCAGCTATTTCATTTTGCAGCAGCCTCCTCCCCCTGTTTCTTTGATTCATTATTATCAAAAGAAAGTTCCTTTTGCTTTGCAGTGAACACTGATCCTGCAGTTGGAGTGACTCACTTTAAGATTCATGTTTTACTGCCATTGTCACTGTCTTGGGTTATGAACAGAGAAAGGTGTCCTTGTTGAAACAAAAATTTTCTGAAAGAGGTAACAGAACTCAGGATATGATTTCACTTAAGTGTTCACAATTTCTGGTGCAAATTAATTTGTCTGTTAGGAACGTAACAGTTGGCAACATCATTGTGACTTACACTGTCTGGCATGGTTTCACAGTCTTCATGAAGTTTTTCAAACTCTTTCTTTGAGCAGTTTGTCTTCTGGACTGCAAATATTAAATGGTATTTTTGTCCTGCAACCACCTGAAAAATTAGCAAAAAGGCTTTCCATGATAAAGGCATTTTACTGAAAAGGGTTCACAGAAAAGATGTTTTTCTACAAGCTTGAACCACTTATATTCTACAAGTCCTGACCACTGGGACAACATATGTTAAACAATACTAAAATATTTGGCAGCAAACTTCTCTGCTTCTAATCAATGTACTTATTTACTCCAGTTCCCATTTGCAAAAATTCCACCATTGAAATTGAAGGAAACAGAAAGGTCAGAATAATATCAGGGCCACAGTTTTGGCTTTGCTTTATTGGATGCCTGTAGTAATTTCATTAATAACAAATGAAATCATTAGAGACACTACTGTAGAGAGCCAAATATGATGTAAGAAAACTGGAATGTGAGTAAAATGAAGTGTGTGATGAACAGGCTCAGTTAAAAATGAACATATTTGCCAAATGCATTAAGGAGAGAAACTGCCTGGGTTCAGGAATGTGCCTGGTACGAGTTCTCTTAGTATGTTTTACAGAGCCCAAGATAATATATCCTGCTTCAGAGACAGCATGCAAAACATGAAATTCTGTCTCTTTTGTCTATTTTTAAAATGTATACCTGCTAATATCAGTCATGATATGAAAAGTGAGAAAGAAGAAAAAATTTTGAAAGAAGAAAAATGGTTTAAATGAGGAAAAACCACAGATATTATTAGTAAGATAATATGAACTATTTAGAAAAACTCCAGTGTGCTTTTAGTGCCTTCTCCAGTGGTACCCCTCATTTTCAGGAGTTGTTGGCAAAGTATTTTCTGAACTACTCCACTGCCTTATTTTCAATTCTGTCCTAAACCTCTGTTTTGATATGTTAGGACAGTAAACAGGGCAAATGCTGACCAATGTTATCCTCTTGATTCCTTGTTCATCTTTACTCAGTTGTATTTATCTGTATATCTTAAGTCATGCACAGATGTTCTCTTGTGAATCTAGCTGGAGTATTATTAGCAGCAGAATTGGTATATAAATTAACATATCTAAGGGAAATTTGGAAGCCCCATTTCTTGGAGTTTATGTCTACTGTATGGTAGACAGTTGCTTAAAATAACAGAGAGAGTATTGAGGTGGGGGGATCAAGTGGGTAGTTTCTACTTTTCTGTCTTAAAAGTTTGTTAGACTGGTAAACTGTGGGGTAGATATACAGAAATCAGATACCTTAAATCAACTTTTCCCCCATGCTTTTAAAATCATGATGTTTTAAGGAAAATAATAATAAAAAAAAAATCAAGAGATAGGAGATTTTTAAATAACTTCTGAATGCAAAACGATATGGATAAAATTTTGCAAGAAAAATTGCATGGATATTTTAGTTACCACATGTATCAACACTTATAGAAAAACATTATTTCAAATTAAATACAAACTAAGCTAACATTCAGCTTAGATCAATAACACTGCCATGTCTGTTCCTCGTTTCTGTGATATATCCCAACCTGAACCGTCGCTGCTTCTATTTCTCCACCTTTATAGTAGAATTCATCATTGCTGTCGGAATTAAACTTTTCCATAGAAAGCTTCAGTAGTTCCTTCAGTTCTGGACTGTCTTTTGGGATAGTCTTTGGGCAACCACTATAAATGCCAGGAATTACTGGTTCTTCAACTGAAAGTAATGAACAGATTTCAGATATAAGGAGCAAAAGGTTCAATGTAGATAAAGTCTGGGAAAAACAATTAGTTATAAACCCCTGCCTTCTGGAACACTTTGTATTTGGATCTATCAAATGAAACCAAAATATCTTTAAGTTTTATATGAACAGCATTATCATATCTTGATTATTTAAAAGAGCACTGCATCAGCACTTAGTGCTGCATTGGACGCTTGAGTTTTCCCATAGAAATAAAATCCGTGTGTACCAATTGCGGGTAGCTAGCAAATACCTATGGAAGGACACGAATCAGGTGAAACAAGAAATGCATGTTATTGGCAATGAATGAGTATGTTGAAGAATATCATTATAATTTCTTGAAGAAGAACAAGTTTGAATGGGTGAGAATGCAGCACATACTACATGGAGTAGTACTGTACTCCCTGTTCTGCAGCTCTGTAGCTACGGTAAACTGTGCCAAATGGCTGGAGGAAAAAGTAATGATAAGGATAATTGATTCAGAAGTTTGACTGTAATGAACTTATAAATTCCAAGTAATTTATTTAGGGGGGGGGG